ACCCACACCCACACCCACACCCACACCCACACCCACACCCACACCCATATCCACATCTCACCCTCAACAATGCCAACAGCTTCACATTATATACAAATAAGTATCGATGAGTGTGGTTCATTCAAAATGTATTTCTTTTTATCAATATATTTTTTTCTGCGTCGTCGTTATTGTTTGTCTACTGCCAGTATTGTGTATTTTACTGTTGCTATGAGCGGTACTTCTAAAGAAAACGTTTGATCAACAAAACTTTAAAAAAAAGGAGAGAAGAGAGAAGAATAAGCAACGGCTTTTTATGTTGCAAAAATAACACAAGAGTCCTTGGATAAACAAACAGCGTGTCTCACATATAAAATATTCAACCAAGCTGGAAATTATTGGCATTCGAATTTTTTTTGAAAAAGTTTATTTTAATTATTGCAACTTGGTAAATAACATTCATCTACATTGAATGCCGATTCCTTTAACTCTAGGAGCCATTGCACGAAAGAAACTGCCAAAATACGGACCACGCGCTGAATTGATCTCACGGATTTCAATGGAATTTTGTCTATATGTGGATCTGAGTGAGATATGAAAAAGTTTAAAGTTTCAGCTTCTAAAATCATACCCTTCTTGAGATATTGAAATCACAATGGAGACACCCTGAGCTAAAAAATGACGATGACCAATGCAGTACCCACTCAGTGTATACTTCACTATTTTTGAACGGTGATGGTTTTTAGTATGGAACTTTGAGGATATATACTACCCATAGTATAGTATAGATCGATGCAATCAAAGCTATTTTCCCACTCGTTCGGCGGTATAGTGGTAATACATAGTTTCTAGATATATGCTTTACATTGTGATCTGGATTTCTGTCGCTTAAGAGTGAGTTATGGCCTGTCGCTTTGGAACTAAGTACTGCTGTCCTCGAGCTATTAGTAACAATTTTTCAAAGCATGGCGTTTTGATTTTGACCAGGAACAACTAGAGGTGTAAGCCGTGCGGCCGAGCCGCCGTCGCCGCCGACAGACTCAAAAAATTTTAAGCTGCCGCCGCCGTGACAGTAGAAATTTTAGAAATTTTTAAGCCATCGACGCTGAGACACTTTAACTGCAGCCGCCGCGCCGGCGATGGTATTCAAAATTGTAAAATTTCGAGCGGCCGCTGGCAACTAGCATAAACAAACGTTTTATTTATATTTTCTTTAATTCGGTACTTTGACATCGTAGAATTCCAAAATATCTCTTCTTCATTAACTTCCTCGCGTTCAATTTCACTTTCGTGCTGGTTCTGTGACCAATCAGGTGCTTGGGGTTCTAAATTGTAAACAAACCCTTAATTCTGTGTTGGTTGAAAATTCTAAGTTACCATTTCAGTTGTTTATGTCTGTTATATTAGGTATATTTATAAATACAAGAACAGACGAACATTTTAAATTTTGATTAACAAAAATAAAACAAAAAACAACAAACTTGAATACGCTAAGAGCCTTTACTTTTTAACAATCGTGGTGGTGATTTTTCATTTATTATTTACCCTAACAATTATATATGTGTTTTTAATTATTGACTTTTTTTATTATGTCTAGATGTGAATTAAAGTTTTTCCACATATGTGTTTGAAGATAAAAAGGTCGAGATATTGAAATAGGCCTTGTCTAAGCTAAAAATTTCGATGTTGAATTAAGAAACATTATTGGTTAAGGGGACCCCCCCCCCTTTCCCGACTCAAAATTTTCACATTTTTCGTTTTTCATTTTTTGTGATTAGTATGTAGATTTAAATACCCTCTATCTATTGAGCACACTTTGAGAACTGAAAACCCGCATGTTATCTATAAAAAACTCGAAAAAAATCGAAAAATATGCCAAAAAAATCAAAAAACACAATTTTCTTTGCATTTTTCTCGAAATCAGCTTTTTTGGTATCAAAAAACAGTTTTGCCCCCCTTTTCTCCGCCATTTCAAGTCCGATCCGACTGAAAATTTTTTTGGTCAGACTTCAAGTGATTTGGGTTGGACGTTTTTTTTTTTTTGGGATACCTTCTACTAATCAAGTTTGGCAGACTTCGCAAAATTTTTAGGATCCAAAAAACCTACAGATTTTGCGAAGTGCTCAGTATTTTGGTTCTCCAGCCTGAAGTATTTGGAATTTTTGAAAAAAAAAAAAAACGTCCGCCCCGATTGTGTCCGTCTACCCACAGTAAAAATTTCAGCTCAAACGGATGGAATCTGGGGAGTCCAGGGGGGGCAAAACTTTTTGCAAATTTTTGACCTTGGGGTCTCTGGAAGTCCATGAAGATAACGTCTGGCAAATTTATGTCCATGACAACTTTTGCTCTACTACTCGAGGTCTATCTACCCTGAAAGTTTCAGGAATTTTCATTGGGCCGTTTCTTAGAAACGCCGGAAAGGGGGGGGGGGGCCCCTTAAACAGTTAATAAACATTTAAAATACTTTTAAATAGTGCATTAAATTTATTGCACTATTCAGAACCGGATTAAAGTTGATGCACCAATCAATGTCTGATTGGATTTTCTAATGGGACAGACGCAGTTTTCAATGGGCGATTCCTATATGATTGAGGTGAACAAAAACTACGATTCATTTGAAAGTCTAGGATTCTGATTCATGCATTGAATGACAAATGTAGACACGAATTGATTTAATACGAATTGAATACTGCATTATCCTCCTAGTGTAGACAAGGTAATAGACTACTTTCTTTATGATAATGTAGTACTTTTTAAACTTCAAGTCGCCGCCGCTGAGATACTTTAATTACAAGCGCCGCGCCGCCGATTGGATTCGAAATTTTAAAATTTTCGAGCCGCCGCCGCTATGCAACCTGAGAGTATTAAATCTGCGCCGCCGAGCGTTTAAGAAAATTTTTTAAAAACTGGCGCCGCCGCTGATCAGCCTATTGGCTTACACCTCTAGGAACAAAAACCTTTTCTACTGTATTTGTCAGCTAATTTGAGTAAAAATTTGGATCCATTTCAAGGCAAGCTGCCTAGTCGCTATCTTCAGGTT